GATGGCAGATCAGCAGGTGAGTTAAATTAATTCGCGAGCAGAATCTGTGCAGGTTTCTTTGCGCTATAATTGCTACGTAATCACTCTAGCATGCAAATAAAACAAAATCCAACGGTCATGACAATCCAGGTCCTACCACAGTGAAGAACATGGCTAAAAACTGAAGCGAACACACTATTTCGATACTGCAATGACATAGTGGTTTATCGCGAACGTGCACTCCTTGAAAGCACGCGGTGTTTACAGAACGCCGCGCGCGACGACGCGTGACCCTGAAGCCCATTCTCGAATCAACCACATTTCATTTGATTTGAACTTATGGTGCTGGCGAGTGGGGGGGGGGATTCTCAGACTTGAGGGAGGGACCTCCCTACGTCGCAACCTTGTGCTGCCCTTGAGAAAAGTTGCGCCGCCCAGTGGGTTGGGGATATAAGCACGTCATATTCCCAACTGAATGGGGAAACTTTTCTGAAAAATCGTACACTGTGCCGTCGTTGTTTAACTTTGGGTAGGAACCTTTTCGGATGCCACAAGTTTTGCTCTACATAACAGAGTCCAACCCCCATAAAGGGTATCAAATCATTCTTATGTTCGGACCTTCAAAGAGCTGGAAGGGTCTTTTTGGAAGCGAATGCTGAGATTTTTGATAATAATATAGAAGACGGCTTAAGACGCAAAAATCTCAACCTGTGTTATTCCGTCGCGGGCGAGAACAATAGGTTCGACGCGCGTAGATTCTGTATCATCAAAACGCAATGTCGGCGGACACCCTTCGCTGATAACGCTCGCATGGGAGGTGGACTGCATACCTCCAAAGTCCTCTTCCCGTGGATTTCGCGATGGGTCCCATGGCCATGTAAGCTGAAAAAGTTAGCTTGTTCATTCCTTCCAGTCACATACTCAACTAGGAGTGGAAACTAGGTTTCGTGATAGATTTCAAGCTGCTGAGCGAAAATTGCAAGTCCGCGCGATGGACGTAGCGCCTGAGGAAGAAGAAATTCCCCCCAAAAAAAGCAGTGGCTACAAATATAACTACATCACTATCACGGACTACAGCAGTAGACACAACTAAAAAATACAAATATGGTTTACAAGCTCAAAATGTATAGAATCACCTCGCCTGCCCCAGTGTTCAGCTGCGGCACATCCGACCCCTCGTCTGCTTGATTCGGCCTCCTTCTGGTAGATGGAGCAGCAGCAACAGATGGTTTCCTTTTCCTGGACTGTTGGCTAGCAGCGGTGACATTCCCTCTCTGTTGCGATCGTGGTCGCCGGGCCGGCGTCGAAGATCGTTGCGGTCGTGGTCGCCGCGCTGGCGTCGGAGATCGTCGGCGGGTTGGAGATGGAGGCGGTTGAGCCGGAACTGGACATCGCCCCCGGGGCGGGGTTGGAGGACGCCACGGAACGCGAACAGTCCTGCCAGAACTGCTATCTCTTACCGCCGGTTTTCGGGCGGCACGACCATCCATTACATTGGGCGAGGTGGGCTAAAAAGTTGTATTAGGTCTAATTAGAACGTGGGGTAAGAAACATGCACTATAATTATTCCTCTTCAAAAAAAAATAAAGGAAACCTGAGCATTCTCAGACTCCACAACAGATTCCCTACTAGTTGGCTCACGAACATTTCTGACAATATAGTTGGCAAGTAGCTGTGCATGCTGATCAGTATTGCGCGATTCAGATCTGTTAAGCGCTTCCAGGAATTCTCGTACAGCATCATTCTGAACTCAGTACATTCAAAAATGGATTTGGAAGTACTCATAAGAAGAAGGGAAGCGTATAAAAAGGAAAAAGAATAAAGCCTTCGTCGATGATTAATAGTGTCCAGCTTCTCTCTTCATAAAACCTCGGCATTATTGTGAACTTTCAAGTTGTAATGTGTTCTGCCAGAGGTTGGTAGGTGTAGTTAGTAAACTACAATTTTACTAACTACAACTAACAGCGAGTGGGCATCGTTCCGCTCATGTGGTGGTGGACTGGCCTCTGAGGACGACGATCCGAAACGTCAGGCCAAAATAAAGTCTTCCACCTACCAACCTCTTTGGCGGGATACATTACAACCTTCGTCGATGAATAATCCTTTCTGGATTGCGGCACACATCCTACTTTCATTCGAAATTGTGTTGCCTTATTGAATGCGATGTGGACTATATTGAATTACCAGAGCCAGCTGATATGAAAGTTAGTGTTATTGGTGTAGCTCTGGTACTAAGTCACCGTTATCGGCAGGTAGAAGGCCCGAGCGGCCAGGATATCTTGATGGAGATCCCCAGCCGAGGGCCGTGTATGAGCGCAGGAGGGAGAGTGTCGTATTTACCTTTCAAGAAAGGTGTTTTCGACCGTTGTCTTCCCTCGTTTCCTGTTCCAGGCACGCTAAATGCTCCCTATCCCGCTCCTCGGCAGTTCTTCTTCTTTAGGGGCGAGGGGGGGGGGTGTTGTAATAAAGGGATTTTGGTAAAAAATCTATGAAGTGATAGGAAGTTGGGAACATTCAGGACAGGAAGAAATTCCGCAAAAAAATTACCCAAGAGCAGAATGTGGCCTGGCGGGAGCCGGTCCGGGATTGATTTGACTTCCGGAGCGGGCGTGGTAAGCAGGCCGTTTTCCGAACACCAAGTGCGCCTTCTCCTACAAGTACAGATCAAAAACAAGCAACAGGTCTCCCTCAAAGACCTTGCGTTCCTCATTGTCTTTTTCGTTGGCTTTTATCTGCTCACAACTCTGAACCAACAGTTCTTTTTTCAGGTGTCAAGCTGAATAAGAAAAAACGTGTCAAGCACTGTTTATGGTTTAAGGAAGTTTTATGTTAGGCTACTATAAGTACCTCCATTCCCGAAGCGGCACCGCCTGTTTGATTCCACGCTCGATTTCCAGAGCTTCTTGCTCGTTTTACCGCCAACTGTAAAGGTCTACCGCCAGAGCTCGAACTTCCCACATTATCGAGAGGTCTCCCACGAGCTGCGTTCTGAATAAAGCGATGAATTATGTTTTGAATACAACAATGAATACATGCAAAAAAAGCTATTTCTTTTCAACATTAATTTTAATGAGACTTCGTATCCCTACTGGCGTCATCGCCATGAAGTGAAAATCCGTACTGTAGTCACATTTTCGTTCCTGTTTTTTGTAGCACGTCGATTCCTTGCCATTTCACCGCTGCTACTGCTGGATGAAGCAGAGACAAGAGCTCGTGGCTGCACGTTAGTAGATCCATTCCCACGCGGTCTCACAGTTTCCTCTGCGGGAGCTCGAGCGACCGTAACGTTGTGACGCCTTGCTGTAGTTCTCGGCTAAAATGTTGTTGATACCATTTGGGGTGGCGGGGGGAGGTGGCAGGGGGTCTCTCCTTATAGGCCTTAACACAGACCCCGCACTAGGCCTCTCAACCTACATAGGATACTTTCATAGAATAGTCCGCTGCATAATCACCACTGTCCCACTTTTATGGATTCACAAATAGTGAGGGTGCTGCAGTCATAAGTTGCAGTTGAATACGGTATCCCGTACGATATACCGTATAGAAGTGCAACTTTTAGCCGCAACACCCTCGGTACTCTGTGGTCGCCAGAAGGGGACAATTTTAGCGATCACGGACCACCTGGGCAGGAAAGAACTTCTCAAACTGGTTGAACGCGGAGTCTGTATTAAGGGTTGTCCATGCGACTATAGCGATACTCCAACGCGATATATTCCCTGAGTCGTCATGTGGAATCAGAAGAAGGGAGGAAATCATAGAAATTTAGGAAGGTGATGGGAAAAATATGCATTGCATTGGCGGCGTGAAAGTGGCAGTTGCATCTCAGGTATCCCAGGAGCCTGTTCGTCTCCAGTATTTCAAGGATTGCCTTGTCATGTACCGAAGGAATAAGAGCAGCTTTTGCTCTATTACTTGCATAAGGGCAGCTTATTGTAGTGGGCTGATTTACCGTCTGGCAAGGATAGGTAAGGGGAATCGTCGTTCCGATTCAGAAGCACATTATAAGATAATCGAATGGGCGGAGATTCGCAACCACTGCGCCTTCTTCATTTTACCGCTCTATTAACTGCAGTATCAGAAGGGTGTACCAATGAGGAACGAATAATGGCTATCATCTCCACCCGTTCGATATCGAAATAAGTTCCCTTAATCTAGTCTTCAGCTCGAATACTTTGTAGAATAAAAAACATTTACAAGTTGTAAATTAAGTGCTGTCGAGGAGAATTCCAAGATTTTTCCGTCCACTACAATGTTGCTAGCAGACGTGGCAGCCGGGATCCCTCGTAACGTCAGATCAACTGGATTTGAGGCCAAGTAGAGGAACAGCCAACAGAATTGCAACTTTTCAAAATTTTTAAAATCGATAACGAAAAGAAAACCGTAGTAAAGGCTCAAGTATTACTTCGTTCGTTTCTGCTCGCTGAACGTTTCTGCTCGTTGAACTCGTTCCCCTGCTTTCATGGTGTTGCGTACTCGTAGTGCCAAGAAACTGCACATCTGCATCATTTCGACGGCGCAATCTCTCTCGTCTTTCTGCGCCCTCTTGCACGGCGCCACTCTGAAGTCAGTATAATACTAAGTTTTCTGGAATTACATTCAATGAAGGTAAAACAAAAATTGGTGCCATAGAATTTGTTCCTAACAAAACTACACCTCCATGTCCGGAGATGGGGAGGGCAGTAAGGCGGCTTTCATCCAAACATGGCTGCGGTTACGTTTCTTTTGGTGTGTTGCCGTTTTCAGACAACTGTGATCATTTCTTTGCTGAGCAGAAGACAGAATGACAGTTGTTTGAAAATCAAATATTCTACAACGCATCGTAGACCATTTCAGATGAAATGAGCAACTACGCCCTCCCCATCTTGAGGGTATGGGTTGCACAGAAGCGAGATTTTAACAGATGTTCTCTAGTACTGGTACGATCATGAGCTATATCTTAACACTGTGTCAGCTCTTTTAATCACGTTATTAGGTTCAGGAATGTGGGGAAGATAATTTATGGTATGAAGAACAAATCCGCTCTATACCTCCCGAACTGCCTGATTTGGTTGCTTTCCCGATCTACTTTGAGCACGTACTGCTCTTTGTGGTGCAGTATCACTTCTCTTCGCTGATGTGTTACGGACTGTGCTCTGAAAAAACTGTTGCAAGTACGCGTCAATAACTTATCTCAGCATCTGAGATAAGGAAGGTCGTCCAAGTACTGCGTACCGATGGCCATAGAAGACTGTAAGTCTAATTTTGGACCTATGCTAGGAAAGATGCATATAATTTTGTCCCTCTTTCAATAGAAAGAGAAGTATACCTTCTTTACAAGCTCAGTCTTAACCACAACATCCCTAACCTGCCTTCCTCTTCCACCGGCATTTGTAGATTGTCGTGCAGGAGTAACGCCAAGAAATTGTACATCATCGTCATTTGATGCGTGACTGCTAGTTGACCCACGTTGTCTTTGTGAGCGCTTTCGGGCAGCGCCACCCTAAACTCAGAAGAATCCTTTTGGGAAACATCCAGATGAGGAACGAAGTGCGCGCTACAGAAGTCGTTCTTGCAGACTGCACAAGACGAGGTCTTAACCGCACGGACCTTATTTTCTCATGCCACGCCTATAAGTTCAACTATCTGCTCGGAACTCAGAGGAGGAACTCTGCTGCCACCTTCTCCCAATGTGAAGCTCGAACGGCAGAAATGTGGGAACCAAGTACCCTTCAAAACCGTACTGTTTTTCTGCTACTTCGGTCCATTTTGAGCGCATACTTCCCTTTGCGCTGTAGTACTGAAAGCAACCCTAAGGTTGTGGTCCCCCACGGAAGAGCTCGCGCCTCACACCTCACCACAGAATTCTAAATGAAACCGTTACAAGTAAGTTTCAGTTGAGTAAGGAATTCAGAACTGTACTAGCCCAGCGCTCATAAAGCGGCATACCGTACCGTAGCCACTTTTTCTGTCACGATCATCACGACATGTCGCAGCTCTACAACTGGTACTGCTAGCAGAACCAGTTGGCTCTTTCTTGGGTACCTTCCTAATGACGAAAATAGGCTTGTGGTCCCTGCTGCGCCAGGATCCTGTGCTTCTCCGTGAGCGGAAGCGATAGAACCCACTGGTGGCAGCACTTCCAGAAACTCTCACCCTCTCGACAGCCTCGTAAGACTTCCTGTTTTCACAAAATATTGCAAAAATACTGAAATATCACTGAACTGACAGAAATATTACTATGACAAACGTAATCATGCAATTTTCGTGCAAATTATTTGATATATTCCTATATTACAGGAAGCTCATGCATTGCACTGCTTAAGGTTGGTCACAGAATTCTGTTAGGTGAAATAAGGACGTTCGGTAAGAACGATGCATTATAAGCTTGTTCTTCTCTTCCAGTAAAGATGAAATTGTACCTTTTCCTTAGGATCACTCTTGATCACAACGTCTCTAACCTGCGTTCCCGATCCTCCACCTGCATTTATGGGCTGTTGTGTACGGGTGGTGCCAGAAAACTGTGCACCATGTCTGAGTTGTCCTTGTGGACGCTCCTGCGCACCGGCAGCCTGAATTTAGCGTAATAAGAAATTCTTTGAAAGAACATTCAAGTGCAGATAAGGGAGTAAGCGCTAAGCGTACTGACAGACCACACTAAATGAGACTTCAAATATACAGGCACCTCTCCCCTCGTAATTTCATGCTCCTTAAAGACACATAGTACGCTCACACACATTGAGGGTGTATGAGACTATCAGCCCCCCAGCTGTCGATGTGTCGTGGTCCCCCCGCCCAAACATGCCCAGGAATGGAGATACAGGACCGTGAAACACGCTAATTCCTCCATGCTCCGCCTTACACCTTTTTGCGGCGCAGATTCCCGTCCTTCATAACATCCGTCGCAAGCGCGCGTGTCGCGTGCGGCTCCTTGGCACTTTGCCAAGTCCTTTAATTGCGCTTTCAAATACAAGTAAAACGCAATTTCCTGATGCGGATAACATTGGAGGTGCTGCAAAATAAGAACAGAAGATGATGACGAGGGTCAGAACTTAAAAGCAACTGTGCCACTTCTGCAACATCCCTCGGAGGCCGCGTATTTCCACGAAACATGAAAATAAAAACGGCATACTCGTTAGTTTGATACAAGCAAAACGCAATTTCCTGATGCGAATAAAATTTTAGGTGTTGCTCATGCTTCAAAATCCATGTACAAGGAGATGAAGATGACACAGGCTAGAAATGAAGCACAACGATGTAAATGTAAATAAAACAAAAATGAAAAAATCAAGGAAAGGCAAATTAGTTGAAATCGCCTGTAAATTTCTACGATCCGGCGCGAATCCGGCGCCAAAGCCGATAAGAAACTATCTTAGAATAAGACTGAAGTGGCGACGCTTGAGGTTGTATCTTATTCTCAGATGTTTTGTGGGAATGCGCGGCCACCCGGATGGATACTTTGCAAGATGCAGACGGAGTTCCTTGAGTTCTGGCCCTCGTCATCATCTTCTGTTCTTATTTTGTAGCACCTCCAATGTTATCCGCATCAGGAAATTGCGTTTTACTTGTATTTGAGAGCGCAATTAAAGGACTTGGCAAAGTGCCAAGGAGCCGCACGCGACACGCGCGCTTACGACGGATGTTATGAAGGACGGGAATCTGCGCCGCAAAAAGGTGTAAGGCGGAGCATGGAGGAATTAGCGTGTTTCACGGTCCTGTATCTCCATTCCTGGGCATGTTTGGGCGGGGGGACCACGACACATCGACAGCTGGGGGGCTGATAGTCTCATACACCCTCAATGTGTTTGAGCGTACCATGTGTCTTTAAGACAATTCCCGCGATCAAGTGTTACGTAGTAGGTGCTCAATCATGAACCAGTAGCCCATAAGTAACTCCCCAGTAGAGAAAGAAGCGAAAAAACCTTGGGAACACCCTGAACAGAGACCCTTCAGCAGTGGGGCCGGCGCCTTGGACGAGTTCATCATGATGACAAGCACAATCAGTAGGATTTTACGTGCGACATGCCCAGCAGAAGCATACGACATCGCTCTACGACGCTCTAGGCAACACAATGTACACATGCAATGATGCTTCCGCAGTCCTGCAGAGTGAAAGTAATCGTGATTGCAGTGGTTGCAATAATCATGTGTCTGCAGTCTCTTCATGCGGACTATAATTCCAAACACAGAAGCAACTCGCGGACCACTCAATCGCGGGAACTGTCTTTAAAGGCAGTTGGCACGATAAATCCCCCAAGACGACTAGGATTAATACGCCTGGCAGGACGGAATTCCGCGACCCTGAGCAGGCGCTGCATAGCGGCTTCTTCCAAGGAAGGTGCCCTTATAAGGGCCCTATCAAGCCACAACATTCCGACCCAAACGCCCGCCACGCCCGCCCGCCCACAAATGGACGACCGTTCCTGACGCTCGTATTCTTCATTTGCTAAGCAAATTATGAAGCGAAGGGATTGGTATGAAGCGGCCGTGATGCTGCATGCATATATGGGTACACATATGCAGCCGTATCTTCGGTAGCGGTGATTGGCAAGATGCCTACGGGAAACTCGTCCGAAATCGATTTACAAGTCACTGAGAACGGAGGCTTTTTCTTCGCAGGATTTTGACCGTTTCACTCCGTTCTTTCGCCATTTCCCCACTATATAGCGCCCTACTAGCATTTTAGGCCGAGTAGGAAACCATCGTGCCAACTGCCTTTAAGCTACTTCATGCATATGTACAGAATTCATACAGAACGACCTGTCACCACACTTCCTTCCAGCTGTGAAATCCTACTGGTAAAAACGAGGGCAGCTTTCCTGCGGCTAAAATTGCAGACTTGCCTGCTTTGTGTGATCCAATATTCATACTTACCGTTGCCATATTCAGTATTCTCATAATCGCGTCCATTGTCGATCTGTGATGTGCTTCTGCTGTTGCATTAGAAGTAGCCTCAGAGCTACGGCTATTCGCCGCAGCGTTCGCCTGTAGTATATCTGTATATCTAGATATAATTTACTGTTACAAGTACGTTTGTCACGTTCCGGACCGCGTGACACACATGGTGTGCCGTATGACACACCATTTGTGTCACGCTGTCCGGAACGTGTTGAAGGACGCCCTGCTACCACATCTTCCTTCACCTACAAGGCTCAAATGGCTAAAATAAGGGGAGCGGTGTGAAGTGTAAAGCTTCTTCAATTTATAACAATATCACCTGCACTGTCAGATTTTCCTCTCTCAAAACCGTACTGTTTGCTCGCTCCATCGATTCATTTTGAGCGCTCGTTTCCCTGTGTGTTGTCGTACTGGAAGTAGTTCCGAAGCTCTGGTTTCCCATAGAAGAACTCGCGACATCATGCATAGCATCCTGAATAAAATGGTCACAAGTATGCTTCAATAGACCAAGGACCTCGCTGGTTCAAAGCTCACAGAACGACAATCGTACCGTGTCCACTTCTTCTGTCTTAATGACACGTGGTTGCGTCGTTGTTCCAAAACTGGTGTTCTTAGCAGTTCCCCTTCTTTTTTTGGGCTGTTTCTCGAACAGGACAATAGGCTCATCGTCGTCATTATGTCCTTCCTCTCTATTCACGGAATTATCAGACCCTGTTGGTTGTCCAGTTGCACAGGCTGCAGTCGCATTCGTATGAGGCGTCACTGTTCCCTGAGGGCGAGCTACACTGCATGTCATGGTCAGACCACATGCTGAACTCCCGGACTGAAATAAGGAAGTATATACTTAAATCGAGTAAAAACAGTTAATCAGGAAGGTACTGGAAAGAGCAATAAGTTAGCAGGAACGCGATACACATACCCCTGACGGCTGCTGGGGAGCTGATACAGCAGGCTCGTTGAATGCAGTACCTTCGGTAGCTTCCACGGGTTCTCTTTTGACAAGTACATCTATATTCTTCAATACAGCAGCTTCGTCTGCAGTAATTGGCTGAAAAAGTGAAAGGTAAGTGCTAAATCTTTAGTGCTGGTGACTCTTTAGGATGCGCCACGCATTCTGAATCCATTCAGTATTGCAGTGACATTTCGATTGCTATATCGCCTATGCAACAGTTTGTGGGAACCAGCTGGTGGATAGTTCAGTGTTTTTAGCCACCCGCATTGTTTCAGCGCGACGTAACCAATCCGGAGTGGAAGGCTTGGTGAGCCCGAGCGAGACTCGAACTGAGATCCGCGATGCGCGCGGGTTTCCACAGCTTTGCCTTTACTCATGAAAGAACATAGTGCGATATACATATTAGAGACGAACTTATGGTCACCTGCGTAGGTTATTGTCTCTGCCATGTAGATGGGTCTGCAGCTGCAGCCTGCAATGACGTACCACATCTCCTCTTACAATTAGAAGCGCATGGGAACGCGGCGTGGGGGTAGTATACCCGAGTGCCGTCTCCGTACTCGGCCAGCCGCACACTTAACCATAGCTGAACGCGCTACTTGTAAATGCTCTCTCACTTCCTTTGTTCTCTATTGTTGAGTGCGCGTTTCGCTGAGGGACAGTGGTATCAACACAAGTGCTGCACTTTGAGAATAACTTGGGCGGAGCATGGGCATGGCACTCCACTTCTCTATGCCCCGTTCCCGCACACTTTTGAGCAGGAGAAAGTGAAAGAAAGCGAGTGAGTCTGCAGCTTTCACAGTCGCTCGCTTCGTACATGGCAAGAAACGTCCCTGAAGGTTGGGTGTATAGTTTGTCATTAATGCGCTCCGGACCGCATGACACACATGGTGTGTCATGAATTCCTCTTGATGCTATGATTATTTTAATAATTTGGCTTTTCTATTATGTAGTGGTGTTGTCGAAACACATTTGCACTTACGGACTATACACATCGATCCGAATATGCGTGCAGTACGGTCCCGCAATGTGTAAACGAAGGAAGAGAACGCTACAGGACTCTCTACATTCCGTTCATCTACAGGTGCTGTACTTCAAATGAGATTCAGATTTCTTATAGCCATGCTTTTCGCAATGAAAGACACTTTGTTTGGATGAAAAAAGGTAGAGTTGACGTGGCTACTCTGCCAGCTTTGTCCTTCTTCCATGAAATTGCACTCAGTGCAGAAATACGTTGATGTTAACACAGCTACAAATCTGTTAGATGAACGCCTTCAAGAATGGGAAAGCCGCGCTAATCAATAAGATTCTGTAGTTTGTACTACTGGAGTAATGATAAGCCGAAAAGAGCCCGAAATTCCAAAAATTTTCGTTTCTATTAATGACTCGTGAGAAAATCGCTCGCTAATCTCTAACTGCAGGGATGGAAATTGATCAAATAATAGTTATGGGCGTAAAAGCTGTGCACGAGAAACTGCGATAGAACCAGAAACCCGATACTGTCCTTACGTTTCCACCCATTCAGCATGCACGACACAGTCACGCAACACGCCACACGGCCACGCGTACTCTTGACTCGGCCCACGGGGCCTGACGAAAGCTTCACTCAGCCGTATGGCGTATTTCTGTGGTGTGCGACGCGTGTATCGAACTGTTAGCGACCTAGTGTCATTACCAAGCCATTGAGAATTTCAGTAGCACTCACTTCTGCTGCTGCGGAAAGGCCCACCTCGCACGATTCCACTCTTCACTCAAATAGTTGAGCGTGCTCTCAAAGTTTGCCTTTCAGTGTACGCGAAACAGTGGTCACGAAAACGGAGTGGCATTAAGGAAGCACACAAACAAGCTCGTTCCTTTGACTGCATTGTCTCCAAAAACTGAGGAATGCTTGCGGCGATAATGTTAAGTAAAAGTATAAACTGGTAGCTTAGTGGAAACCTGGGACTTTCATCCGTACCTGTTTCTTCGTCTTTAGTGTTCCACGATCTGATAGCTTCTTCACTAAACTTTCGACACGCTCCTGACTGTCTCTGGTGGAAGGATCGTTTCCTCTTTCATCAACGTCCTTTCTATTCCTTTCCTGCCTACTAGTTTCAGTACTGGGCCCAGGTGATCGTTGCGACTGAGTGCGATTCGGCCCCAATGGAATCTCTAGCGGTTGCTCATTCACAATTTCAACAGTAGCAGTATGAGAACTGCTACTTGAGCTCGCCGCAGAGCTCTGGTATTCCTCAGCAGTTAGATTCAATGGTGTTACATGTTGGGCGGAATCCTGGAAAAAAAGCTAAAAATATGTGTAACAATAGCACGAACAACCATCTATAACAAAAAATCTTTTCAGCCGATCACATATTGTGTTCATTTCTTGAAATCAAATGGAGCGCACTGCATGAGCTGCCTCGTCCATGACATGTCCCCTGCTCATCAACCTCCCTTTATGGAGATGATGCTTTTTATACTGAGCACCTTGTCACTCAGAGCTCGTAGTACAATCTTGTACTTTTAGTTGACCGAGGCTGCAGCAAACACAGTTACAGCCTTCAAAGCCCACTGAATTTCTACAGGAGGTGGATCCTTTTTATATGGAATTTGGTCGTTTAATAGCCACAGAATTAAGCCATTTTCAGCACTTGAAAAGGTGCAGGAATGAAGTTGCCCTCTGACAGCTTGATATTTGTTGTCTGCACCCGGTGTTCGATACACCATATGGTCAAGTGACGCACGTTGCTTGGGTGCACACTTGTACCAAGCTTGTTCTCGGTAGGACCAATTGTGGTCTTTAGGGCATATTGGCTTTTCAAGGTGCTCGGACCTCACTGATCTCAACTAAGCCTACCGAACACAGTCGAGCAGCACGTAGTAGTGGCTGCGCCTTGCCACGCACATTCGAGTGTCGCAAGTGGTTCGATCTCGCGGCTGTGAACCTGCCACACTGCACTTGGAGTGGATCCACCTCGTGCGATATCTCTTTGACCAGCTCTCGACAGTGTCCACCACCGAGCATCCAGTTGGAACAATGAGTACTACTACTACTACTAGCCACTATCTAGACGAACACCGATCGATTCATCAGGACCAGGTGGGGCGTGGACGGTATCGCTAGTGTACTCACGAGTTCACCTAGTCGCGAATACGTCACTGAACCGAGAAAAAAGCAAACGCACATGAGAGAAGACTTACCGAGCCTACAGTGTTGTCTCCTTCAGTTTTCACCACTCTCTCAGGGACAACTACATTGGAACTCGACAGTACTTCAGGCACTGCATTTCTTGTCTAAACAATTCACTGTATATAAAGGTAAAGCTCTCGCCGTTGATCAATCCCTTTGTGTGTTGCGGCCTATACTATGACTTGCGAGGCCTGCCGATGTACGGTCCTCTTTGGAGGGTGACAAAAAGCATGGCTCATAGAACGATGATGATCCAGACGAAAAAGACTCACACGGGTGTATAAGAGAAGAGAGTCGGCAAGGGACTGCGCAGCCGTCGCATGTAACTTTGACCTGCACTGTGCAGTTTCAGTACTAAAAATTACGCAAGGAGGTCTGAGACTTTGCTTCATCGGTATATTTCGAGGAGCAGATCAAGTTCCTATGAGCACTCCATATCCCTCAAACAAGGAGGGCGTGGCTGCATCCTTCGTCCAAACATGGCATGGGAATGGTTGTTCGTAGACTGTTTCGACTCGACTAGATTGTCATTTCCTTACATACTGGACAAACACACCCACTACAATTATTCCGAAACAAACATATCTCATCTGAAGCGCCACCCTCAAAACGGAGTACGTAGTGACGCCTATCGCATACCTGGGACTTGGAGGCGGGATGGTAAATAGTAGTGCTTACACTGTCAATGGCCACACGGCCTCACTCCGAGTCAGCCCCTTCGCGGAGAACTAACACTAAACCTGGATTCTGGAAGGATGAAGACGCTGACCTACACATCCACTGTCCCCGCAAGTCCATAGTTAGGTCACATACACACACCTATAGGGCTGGCCGCGTTCATACTTTGCGGCAGCGACCACCAGTGTCCACCAGCGACTAGCAGCGTTTCGAGCGTAAGTCAGCGTCAGCGTCGTTAGAAAAGCATAGACATCGATCTAGCGACCTGCAGTATCTACCAGCGTCGTCATCGACAAGCAGCGTCTTGAGGGGCAGGGAAGTATAGGTATCGATCTAACCAGCAGCGTCCACCCATCCATCAGCGATGGCAGTAACTGGAGAGTATGGGGATGTAAGAGGTTAGCTGAGGGCTACTCTCCTACTTCCCCTCACTCTAAACCAGCTGTCTGCCGTCCTCCTATTTCCCCATACGCTCTACCAGCAGTCTACTACCCTTCTATCTCCCCATACTCTCCACTGACTCTGCTGATCGCTGAATGGCCAGCTGGAGGACGCTGCTGGTCGTGATCAATACCTACTTCCCTAGCCCTCGAGACGCTGGTAGACGCTGGTAGACGCTGGCGGACGCTAGACCGATATCTACCTATTCCTATTCGCTGACGCTGACGGACTGCTGGTTGCTGGTGGTCGGCGCCGCAAAGATGAACGCAGCCTAAGGTATCCACAGGTATGCTGTAACGGGATTCCGCAAGAGATTTGTTTCAATAACTGGCAATCGAGCTTGCCCTGGTAACATTTACAAGTTCTATTTAGTTGAAAGATGGTACCTGTTCATGACTTGTCAGTTCATCGTTGAGAACCGCGCAAGTGGCGTCCGGTTGCACGGATGCAGCGTCTGCTGACCTCCTACTGAGAGCTTTTTCGATGCTAGTGAGAGCTTTTTCTATGTTGCTCGGCTCCTGCTCAGGATTACCGTCAGAAGCAGTTAGTGCTCGCTTTTCATTAGCTTTTCCAGTTGTCCCTTCTTCCTCTTCCTCCTTGACAATACTGACAGACGCACCGCGCGCTGCACTGTCCTGTTCCTCCTTGATAACAGTACAAGGCGCACCATGGGCAGCGTTCCTATTGGGCGCCTGTTCGGCATTTCCCACTTCCTCCTTGAGAATAGTGTAAGACGCACGGTCTGACGAGTCGTTATTGGGCACGATTCTGGTTCTTCGTTCACTGTCTTCGGTAACAGCCGAATTTGACGTAGCCGAACTCCTGTTGTTGTCAGCATGTTCACTGAGAAGTTCTCTATGCTCGACGAGCACTCGAACTCTGTGAGTTGGCTTTGACGGACCATCGTTTCGACATTGGGATGGGGTCGGGTAGTCATCGCCATCCCTCGGACGCCGTCGTAGCCCTTCCAGTGGATCCGGCGTTTTGAAAAAATACTTGAAAGGGTTGGTAAGACGATCAGTACCACTTTCTCGAGAGACCTGCTTCGCACCAGCTTCTACTTCTCGGACTGGTGCCTTTTTCGCCACATTTCGTTCTTCAGAAGAACAAGTCTCTGGGGTTGTACTTTGCTTTCCACGCTTGTGCCACTCCCAATTGGCATTTCGAGGGGCCGGCACAGCATCCCGTACATCACATCGTGCACCTTGATCGGAGGGAGCATCCCGTTCATCACAGCGTGCATTTCGGTCGGAGGGCACAGCATCCGCTACAGAAGTATTATCTTCAAATGGCTCCGTTTCCCTAGGAGGTGTCGTTGAGCCTGCCGGTGCAGACTCTTGACGAAATTTCATAAATTTCGTATGTTGGTTACTGGAAGCCGGTTCGTTGCTAAGTCGAGCAGCAGACTGCCCTCCAAAAATGCTGATCCATGCACTGAAAAGACCACCTACATTGACAGGCAACTAGCACCGCAATAAAACCGCATACGTGTTAACTGGTATAATATCGAAGAGAGAGGTACTCCCGGTAGAGTCGGTGTCCAGTGGATGACCAGCTGCTGTGGTATTCACTGATGAACATGTATCTCCGCCCTGAACTTTTATTGCTATAATGGGGAGACAGCAGATGGTTGTGCAGAGTTTCAGAAAAAAAATGTGGATTAAGGGAATTTCACGAAGCGATTATACTTGTTTTCCAATACTCCTTCGATTTCTCCCTTGTTTACTCTTCAGTGAAAGTGGTGTTCATCCAAAATGCCACTCTAATAGATTGTTGGATTTCGTCACTATTGGTTTATCGTATCCACAAAACTGATCGGAGATGAAAAAGAAAAGCAAATATTCCACGACTGAGCGAAAGCCATGCAGGTTCTTAAACTACAACAGTAACAACCTTCACTATGGAAAGTGGTCCGGGCAGAGGATCAAAGACAAACTGTAACTCAATTTCGCGGATCCTAGCGCTCCTTGTGCGAAATGGTTCTGTTGGCAGCTGCAGTGGCCCGCCACCTTGCCCTATCAGAGGTGTACAGGGACGAGGCTGGATGTAGTGATATCTGGCTGCCGTCTTACGACTTAGCCCGCGCTGCCCTTCACCTGTCATACGCCCAAACATGCCACCAGTCTGCGCTCTTACATCAGTTAGGCAGTGTTCAGACTTCGCGTTCGGTCGCGCGTTCGGCGCGATCGATGCGCATGCTTTCGACTGCATCGATCGCGTCGAATGCGCGACCGAAGCGCTGCCGTCGCGAAGTCTGAACGCTGCCTTGGTCCTGTACGTCATACTACGACTACCCTGAGCGATGTTGATGCAGTCCCATGTGCTGCATCTTAATCATCGCGCAAGCAGCGTCCGAAAGAGTACCCAGATACTACGCTTCAGTCTCGTCCCCGTGCACTATTGAGCGTGGAAAGTGCATGCCTACAGCAGCGGACCCATTTACCTTGCACATGGAATGAACCATCTTCGTATGTAAGTGCATGAGGGGCAAGGGATTCCATGTTATGCTATGCAAATACTGATAACAGTAGGAACGGAAAGTATCGAGGGCAGTAGATTCAAAGCATTCACTAAAACTATTTAGACTGCATAGCCTATTTCTCGCCTTTATAATTCGCTTCGAATTTCAATTTTTTTCAACTTGGTATAGCAAATAAGCTGCAACGTTCTTATTGCAATGAGTTACGCGGTATGGGCTTTTTCGGTTACGATTAGCAGTGCTTTATGCAGACTACACATCGTTGTGTGAAACATATGGGGGGGAAGCGGGTCGTACTTGGCCACTGGGGAGGGAGGTCGTATGTAGCTTCGAAAGGAAATTGCCGCGTTGGGAAATTTTTCCCGGTTGTTGACTATTCGTTCGTGATTTTTCCTGTTTCATGTGTACTATTTAAAAAGGATAAAGGATAAAGTCTTCGCCGTTGATCAATCCCTTTGTGGGATGCGGCACGCATTCTACTTCCATTCAGAATCGTAGTGGCTTATTGAATGCGATGTGGCCTATACAATGACTTGCGGGGCCAGCCGATGTACAAGTCAGTGTTTTATCCTCCCAGACGAATCTGGTACCAATTTACCGTCCCCGGAGGGTAGAAGGCTTGGTTGGCCTGGGCGGGTGTCGACCTGGGATTCGAACCCAGGACCGCGCGAGTGGTAAGCGCGCCACTTGTCACTACACCACCTCCGCCCGTGTACTATTTACACCCCGGAAATTCCGGAAAAAGTGGTAGGGAGTTGGGGAAAATCTAATAAATTCTTCCCGTTCCACATTGGCTGTTCACCGCGCACTCCGCCATCCGCCCCTCTCGACGGGAAATCCTTGAGTAAAAAGTGGAAAATGTGGGGAAGTGGTAGGTAGGTGATGGGGAAAAAAAGGGGAGAGGGGGGGGGGTCGTACCGAGATCCTCCCCTAAGTGGGAAGGGGGGGCATACCAAAATCTTACCTGACGGGGTCTTACTGACCCACCTTTCCACACAACACGGTGCTGTACCCTGTTTGCGATGCTGCTATAATGTCCGAATTGTGCAAACTTCCAAAACGTCCATTTTTGACGAGTTCTATCTGGTGCCAAAACGACTTCCTGTTTTTCAGTGGTGTGGGAGGAGACCATATCAAGGGGTTTGTCACAAAGATCTTAGAAACGTAGAGCCATTTCAAAGGTTAATGATGACATCTATCGGCCGGGGTGAAGACCTTTGCCGCTGCTGTGGAGGCTATCTCAACTTTACCCACGTCGCAACCAAATTCAACCATTAATGAGGCAAATATTCCGCGATGGTCGAGGCCGACTGGGAATTTCGTGGCGTAATAGAAAGTATGGTACACTAAAGGACGGAGAATTGCTCAGAACTTAAGGAAATAACACGGGAAAGCAGTTTGCTCACCGCCACCTTCGCTGAGCATTGCATGACAGAGGAAACGTCGTCGCGACGATGCAGGCACGATTCCCACGATCAGCTACTTTAGCATCGTGCTTTTTAATTTGAATCAAAGTCTAAGTTTCCTTCTAAATCACTTAAGATTGTGGAAAGTAGTTTTGGCATCCGACTACATAACATCGGACGACATTTGAGCGTTTTTGAAGAATTTCTTTCATTTATCACCGGGCACGCGCCGTGTGGGCGCCACCGATAAGTCCCTTTCTCCCGCGTTTCAAACTCGACAGGAATCTGCAAAATTACCATATGTTGACAGAAATTTAGAAAGTATACAAAATGGCCGGCTAGTGTTCCTATTCCAGCAACCAGAGTACCTATTTCACTCGCAGATCACTTCAGCAGAGAACATTAAACATCTTATCACACACAGTTATACCGCCTGAGTTAGTGGTCAGTACAGCGGGTTGACAGAAAGTTCTACAATGAAAAGTCCCTGCGCCCTCAGGGGTGCACTACCGCTTCAGTAGCGCACCTACAGCACACGCTGTATATCGCCATGGAAGGCGGAGTGTCCTGATCCTTCCGAAATTATGAATGCAGCCAAAGCTGCATTCTCGCGCATTCGATTAGTTAAGAGTTACCTCCGAAACGTCTTGTGGTTCCTCCTTACAACAGACAGCAGATGTCGGCATCGTCTTTTGTTCCCTGAAATGCACATACGAATTGAAAAACATGTTAAGATCGGCATACCACACAGTGAGAAAACCTACTGTTCTTCATCAACGGGAGCGCTTCTAGGCAAGCTCGAGCCACTGTCACCGTCCTGAACTTCCTCCTGAACATATATGTACAGCATGGCGAAAAATTACAGAAAATAAAAACGCCGCAACTTTGGCATATGCGCTTGTAAAGCAAATTATTTTCATGGGGGCATGAACCACGGCATTTGAAATCGCGCATAATTTTCGAGGTTACTGTCATCAGTTTTGATACATCCCTCAAGTGGCTACTGCATGTGGCCAGCAGTGCTTCACTCCCTATAGATGTAAGCCTAAGGGATACAGATCCGGGCTGCTACACAGTTTCCGACCAGAAAAAAACCGATTCAAGAGGGAGAGAATTGTTGTTTTGCCTGTGAATTGGAGCGCAACCCTGTTAGTGGATTATTAGAGTTAACATTTCTTCTAAATTTGAAATTTGGGCATGAGCAAGTATGCATGAAAGACTTCACTTGATACGTTCAAAATGATATCAAGTGCCCCGCC